CGCGTCCCGTCGCGTCCCGTCGCGTCCCGTCGCGTCCCGTCGCTCCCGGTCGCTCCCGTCGCGTCCGTCGCGTCCGTCGCGTCCCGTCGCGTCCCGTCGCGTCCCGTCGCGTCCCGTCGCGTCCCGGTCGCGTCCGTCGCGTCCCGTCGCGTCCCTCGCGTCCGTCGCGTCCCGTCGCGTCCCGTCGTCCGTCCCCGTCGCGTCCGTCGCGTCCGTCGCGTCCCGTCGCGTCCCGTCGCGTCCCGTCGCGTCCCGTCGCGTCCCGTCGCGTCCCGTCGCGTCCCTCGCGGTCCCGTCGCGTCCCGTCGCGTCCCGTGCGCGTCCCGTCGCGTCCGTCGCGTTCGTCGCGTCCCGTCGCGTCCCGTCGCGTCCCGTCGCGTCCTCGCGTCCCGTCGCGTCCCGTCGTGCGTCCCGTCGCGTCCCGTCGCGGCCCGTCGCGTCCCGTCGCGTCCCGTCGCGTCCCGTCGCGTCCCGTCGCGTCCGTCGCGTTCGCGTCCGTCGCGTCCCGTCCCTTCACCCCGCTCCGCCCCGCCCCGTCACGCCCCGCACCCCCGTCACGCCCCGTCACGCCCCGCCCCGCACCCCCCCGCCACGCCACGCCACGTCCCGCGACGCCACGCCACCCCGCGACGCCACGCCACGTCCCGCGCCGCCCCGCCCCGCCCGCACGCCCCGCCTCGCCTCGCCGCGCCTCGCCACGCCTCGCCCCGCCCGCCCCGCCCGCCCGTCCCGTCCCGTACCCGTTCCCGCTCCTACACCCCCCCGCCACTTCATGCCGCCCCGCGCCATCACACGTCATCCCGCGCACGCGCCCCCTCCTTCCTGGCCCCACCCTACCCTCACGCAATCTCGGCCCACCCCACGGCGGCCCCGCCAAGTTCGACGCACCGCCTCGCCTCGCTCCACCCCGCCCCGCCCCCTGCCACGCGCGATATTGCTATTTACGTATGCGGAGCTCCCGAACACCTCGCCCCGCTTTGCTGGAAGCGGCGCCGCGCGACGCTGACTCGCTCTGGCGGAGGCTCCGAATGCGATCGACGTTCGATTGTCGCCCCCGCTGCGCCTCCGCATTGGCTTCGCCGTGCGATCAGGCTTCGGAGAGAAGGCCTTGGTGGCGATGGAAAATCATCGTGGGTGATGGTGTAGATGTAGAGACTTTGCGGCTGCACAAATAGTGCCAGTTACATCCGAGGTAGAGGAATCGCTATTGTTTTTAATATTAGTTGCATCAATTCGTGAATAGATTATTATATATCAACACAAAAAATGCAGTATCAGTGTATATTAGAATGTGATAAAATAGAATAATACTGGAATATATTAAAACTAATGTTAGTCGTGTAGCCTCGTTCACGCGTTATTTGCTCCCCGTTGAAGCACTTTCAGTTCTGTCATCGAAGAAGTATTTAACTTCATTTAGTGAGTAAAAAACCGCCTGTCTGTACTTGCACAACAGCTTCTGTCGGGGCCAAGGCCTACCAGCGTCGTCCCGCACTAGCGGCCATGGGGTAAGAGTTACGTGAACATCCCTACGTCGTATTAAAAATTCAAGATAATACGCACTTATGTAAATAAAAACAAAATTTATAATATTATCAATATAAAATATTCAGATAATACACCTAACGTCAAGTAAATTAATACAATTTCCTGTTTCCTTGACAATGAACTGATACCATTTGATATACTTTAATATCGTTATCAGAGTGTTCATAATATTGACTGTAACTAAGAATTTTTTTAACTTCGAAATATGGAATCTTCATTGCGTTGATATAAATGTCTAATATCACATTGAATTATATTACCCATTCTATACATAATGGTTACCACTCCCATCACCTTGTTGGACGCAATTACGCTCGCAGAAAATATTTCGCAGTCGTAAACAAATCCTAATTGTGACCATGTGAAAGAGAAACAATGCATTTTCTAGAATAAATTTAATTGTATACCTATCGCACAATACCTAAGCTCACGCTTGACTCAGGCAAATCGCAATGGTGTGAGCGGATGCGGGGATGGAGGTAAAGAGCGACCTGAGCAGAGCGCGAGAGGGCGCGAGCGAGGTCGCGGACGAAGTCTTCGAAGTGTAGCGCAGGCGGGGAAGGGGGCGTGGCTGGCAGAGTCGGAAGAGGGAGGCAAGGGTTGCTGACGCTGCGACCTCCCTCGTCTTGATTGATCGGGTCTGTTTACGAACTGAGTGGCACAGCGTGCGCTCGACGACAGGTCGCTGTTGCGAAAGCCAACCGACAGGAAAGAATTTCGACGAAACGCAAGAAGCGTCTTACTTTGTCGCGCAAGCTGGCTTTTACTTAATGAACAGGTTGCACATTGCGGATTACCGGTGATCAAAATTCGAGAAATTTATGTGATTATATCAAAGTTATTTTCCTGTACTTTGTCTGTATACAAATAATAAACTAGCATTGCTAAAACAATACACCCTTTTTAGCATTAATAGGACGATTGAGATCTTATGAAACAACATAAAAAGTTTGTAATATTTTAAAACTGAAAAGTTACTCCAAAATAACGTTTGTCGTGTTATCCAATACACTTATCGCGATCCTTTCAAAAAGTTTACACGAAACAATTTGTATACGTTTCTGAGAAAATTTCATTTTAAAAATGGCTTTTATTTCACGAAAATTACACAAAACACACTCATATTTTGAAGAAAAAAATAAAGATCACATTTTGAAGAATAAATTTCTTTGAGAAAATATCTCTAATCTTGAAAATTCAAAGAATTCAACCTGCAATTCGACCTGCACCATTTAAATAAAAGTATATTATTCTATCAGATAAACAAATATTCTTTAAAACAATTGGAGACTTTTTTGAGAAAATGTTGAAAATTTCGTTTCCCCAGTATTCCCCAAACTAAATATATGTTTAAATTCAAGGGGCCCGACATGAACTATAGTGTTTGAGGAATACCACCTTTTGAATTCTGCGTACGAATCAATTTGCAAAGCAAAAAGTGAGTAATGAGGTTATTAGGTAGGTATATGAGGTAATCGTAAATATAATAATTATTTATCTAACACAGTGACCATAATTTTAAAGGGACAAGATTCGAGAAAACTAAAATGTACGATCATATAAAATATTTTCAAAGCTCATTATCATGAAATTTTGTACTAATTACATAGAAAATTGAACTAAATGCTTAATAATTGTGTCGTTTTCATTTATGATTGAATGTCCAAAATTGAATGAGCCATGGATGCTAATTTATTGATTATTCATTAGTAGTGAACTTAATGTAAGACAAAATGTATTGTGTCCAGTGTTTCGAACTACACATTATTTCTAATATAAAATCATATACTCATTTAAACTGCACTGTATATTTTGCACACGATTATTGTTTATATTGTGCAAATAATATCAGCAAATTCTGCCAGACAAGCAGTGTCGTCATGCAAGTCCGAGTGCGGGAGTTATCCGCCTCCATTTCACGATGAATGTCAGCGCACACTGTGTTATAAATGGAAACAATATTTATCTAATTTGTGAATGCTTGTTTTTTACGTTTAATTTCAATGTGACAAAATACATATGGCATTCAAGAAACACGCCGCTTGTTTCATTTATTCCATTGGCTCGTATTACACTGGGATGGGAAGGCATCAGCAAGCCAATTGGAAAATATTATACTCGAAAATGTAGGTTGAGGAAGCTTCTTTCGGAACCGAGCTTAAGTGGCTGGTAAACATGTAATAAAATGTAATTAAAATGAATGATATATTGCTGTGAATGAAATTATAATTTACGTTCAGTTGTTATTTATTAGCACTCTCTTTGCAACATGTAGAGTATTTTAATATCATGAAATACTTCACTTAAAAAGGGTAAAAAATGGGTTTTTTGTGAGTATATACCTCACTTATTTCGTTGAAAAAATTGGATTTTACCTAAATGCTGATGTGTTTTGAAAGTCTAATATTTCATATTTGTGTAATAGAATTCAATTCCCTTAACGCAAGTAACAGAACAGTCGTCATGTACCAATTAATGAAATGACACATTTGTAATGATGTTCAAGGATAAAATAAATTAATACTGCCATCAACAACATCGCTCATCTGAACTAATTGTTTAATAACTATTAGCAGAGTAAAATTTCTTCTGTTTTCTATCTTATTCACTGAATGTATTGTATTCCATTCAGAGAAAGGAAAGATCGCGCGCGATCCATGGCCCGTTTGTTGCACTGCTCCAGGATTTGCTTGGTGTGGGTCGGAGAAACGACGGAAAACTACCGATCAGAGCAGTCGGTCGTTAGACTTCCCCTCCTGCGTGCGACTAGATTCGAGCTAGCTAACAAGCTAGTGTCGAAAAACCTGTAACCTTAGACACTCGAATCTGGGACCTCCCGGTCAGAGGCACAACAGTGACAATAAACGATGTCCTGATTCACCTAAGCCTGCCTCAGCGCGGAAGGCGAGCGATGTGACCGCTGCACTTGGGGCCGCCTGTCTCCGAGTGTGAACGGGTGAGAGGGTCGGGAGAGAGGGCGGGAGGTCGCAGGGCTCGCGTCCTTGGCCCCCTGTCGCTCCGTGCGCCGAGCGCGCGCGGGTAGGAATTTCCTCGCGGGATTGTCCGCTTATCGCATTTCGTCGCGTTTCGACGCGGCCCTGCCAAGGTAACGCCAATTACTTAAACCTAATTTGCAGAATGAACGCCGTTTGCGGGTCAGTGCACAATTCGTAACAAGCCCCCTCGCTTGAGATCACAGATTGACCTTGTAAAGAGCGAATTACGCAATATAACGTCTTCGAGCTGAAATTTTCAGTGATGAAGACATTTACAGGAAATTTCAGAGAAATAAAAAAAGGAGACACCTTCACCACGAAGCCTCGATAGCCACTGAAAGTAATGTTTGTACAAATATCACGTGTTATGATTTAATAAAATTTAAGTTCATTTATTCCAATTATATGCATGTTTACAAATAAGAATGGCATGAAATATTTAAAATCGATTTATAGCTAATGCAGCTCTGAAATTTCAATATCATCACATGTCTTTTCAATTTAAGCGTCCCAGTAAAAGTAACCACATGTGAAGTGAGTAGAAACAATTTTTTGAAAACGTGCATTACTTTCAATTCTTAAAATTTTAACTACGACACATGTCATTACAAATTTCTTGGTTTGAACTCAGCTGGCACCACAACGTGCATGAAATCCCTTGCCGTGTCTCGGAACTCTGCCCTGATTTAGTAACACATTTGTATGAGGTTCAATCACGCTAATCACATACCCAGATTTGGAAGAAAAAGAATTGAGCAACGCCACTCGCCCGCTCGCGAAACGCGTGTCGGCCGTCTGCATGTCTGCGCGCCTTGCAAGAGGAGAGGGCCAAACACCGCACCGGCCCGCCGTGCCGTGCCGTGAGGAAAGGCCCTCCGTCACGCTCCTTTGAGGTGGCGAGGATTGAGACGAAGTCGCTCCATTCACCTCCCGATAACGACTGAATAACACGGCTGCCTGATGGCGATCTCGCTCTCGGAGCACGTGGGAATTGCCGACCGCTGCGCCAGCGCCGCCGGTGGCGGTCGAGGGAGGTTCTTGAGGCGTATTGAGGTGGCTTCGGTGATGTAATGGTTAACGTATTGGACGGTTATACTGACGTTCGCGGGTTAAAATCCGGTCGAAACCGTGGATTTTTAATGAGAAAAAATCTGTCGTGCACCTCCTTTGGAAAGGATGTTAAGCCGGCTGACCCGTGTGGTATATTCACTGCAAGTAAAATATCCCCAAGTCTAAACGAAGCCTCTGAGCTAAATTCGAATCGCCAGTTTTGTCACCCGTGTAACACTGCTGGATGGCGAAAAGGGTGTAGAGAAATTTGTCAGGTAGAAGAGTAGGTCTGATGTCTTGCGTCTACCTCCTGGAAATAAAGCATTATTTAATTTAATTGGACATGGAGGCTAGGTTGTGTGTAGAGAGCGCAGGACTCACCTGGTGGAGAGGAGGTGGAAGCGAGAACGCTGGTGGAAAAGAGAGTGGAGGAGGGAGGCACTTACATTCGATTTACACGCTCCTTTTGACGAAAGATTTCTGAGTTGTAGCAAATGCCCGCTTACGACTGCTGCTTTTGAGGCGACCGAGTCACTGTGCGCATGCGCGTGTTTGCTAATTCGATCAACGGAAGGGTTTAAATCGTATCTTGGAGGAAGCACGGTCTTACGTGAACACGACCCGGAAAGGTCAGTTGTTTGTGAATATATAGGATATGGGCGTGTATGCGTTCGGAGTACAGCCGTGACGTGAACTAATAATTCTATTATCTATACTCCATGTTCAGCCCTGCTGGTTTTGAAATAATTATCGCATAATCGAAAGTTCAGTACATTCAAAATTATTCCCTAAGAATATTTATTCAGCGCGGGAAAAAATCGAAATATTATTTTCAAAATTTACGAAAAAAGGTATATTTTAAAATAAAAGTGATACCACAAATTCTACTGTAAACTTGTCGATTTACTACAAACAAAATGTTTTCCCAATAATTTGTGATCTCTAATTTTATTTTCATAATTCTTTTATGGAACCCAAAACTTCCTTTGTGTCTTGGTTGAGACTGCATTTGTGTGCACAAGCGTACTAAGACATAATGGGGCCAAATGGCTCACGCAATATATCTCACGAGCACTCTAAAGAGAATGTCTGTCCCCGCGTGAACCCTCTGGGGTGATCTGATTGTAAGCTCACCTGCCTGCCGCGTTACAACGTCCGAGGTTGCTGCAGTCGTGAACGCCCTAGGGTAGGTCGCCCCAACAGCCTCTGAGACCAGCACGCGTTTTCGTGTGGCAGCGAGAAGAAATGTCTAAAACAAAAGAGATCGGTGTGTTAAATGACCCTACCGAAATGTTTTGGAATTTTACAATTACTACTACTTATATCATTCTCCTAGTAGTGTCGTAATGTAGTTTTAGTGATAGTAATGAAGTATATGAACTGATAATGATGACGACGAAATCCAAGTTCTTTGTTTATAGGGAAAATTATTGCAATATTATTGAATAGTAATTCACACGATTATGTGGGATACCTGATTATTTGCATTTGTCTACCACAACAAAATAAAATTATCATTTCGCGGTATTCGAAATGACGACCATAGCCTAGAACAGGTATCACCGCAGCCAACCGCCCTAGTTATTCAACATTAATGAAGCTTATGAATATGGAGAACAACCGTGTGCTGGTCACTATTTGGCGTACGGAAATTGTGGACATTACCTTCGAAGATACAAAAATTAAATTAATGCCTCTCTCATTCCGAATCGTTGAGTCCCTGGCATCGAGTCCTGTATTCCTTTTTTTGTGTTGAAATTCCTTATGTATTGCAAATCTTCAGGTTGGAACACTGAGCGCATGAGAACTGCGTTAATCAGAGGCAAATTTGAGACGCAGATACACCTGCAACGGTCACAATACCTCGACTCCGCCCACGGACAAACGCAGGGTCTGACAGCCGGAGGCGTGGAATCGCCGTCCGGCAATGCTCAGCGATATCGCATGCTGAGCGACTGTAGGGTCGCAAATGTACTCGGGAGCGGAGCGATAGCAGGGCGAGCTCTGGCGGCGTCGCAAAGATAATGAGAGCGGCGGCGCTCGCGCGACGCACAAAGGACGGAGTGACAGCCGGCGGCCGAGGTTGCGCGTGAGGCGACGGGAGGCGGGGAGGGGAGGGGGTGGGGGTGGGGGAAGGGAGAAGGAAGGGAGGGCGGCAGGTTGGAAGGTGGAAAATGACGTCAGACGGTGCGTGGTGCGGTGGATCGAGGAATCGGAATCGCCGCGGGGCGGAAGAGCAGCGAGTGTAGGGCAGGACGTGAGAAGCGGGGGGGGAAGGAAAGAGAAGATGGAGCGGGGTGGTGTGGGATGGGGAGGAGCTGGGAGAGGGACGGGCCGATGAAGGAAGAGATGAAGCGTAAGAAGAAGAGACGAATGTGTGAGTGGGGGTTTGAACAACATCTCCCCCTTCCTCGTAGATATCGCTCAGTCATCAGGTGACACCGGCGAGACTTATCCATTGAAAGGTGTGAGCGCAGCTGTACTTGATTGTTTCTTTCGTGTTTCGGGCGTGTCATAAAGCTATTGTAATTAGTCGTACGTGTAGTGTTATGTGTTTATCATAGGAGAATGGCAGCGATGTTTCTCCTGATGGTGAGATCCGGTAAGTAAAGAGTAGCCAAGCCTCTAGAATTCTCTCATAGATAGCGCGAATGTCGATCTGCTAAGATTCTGGTTGTCAAATCCTGGCCCGGCGGGCTTAACCCTAGAAATCAGTCACAGAGATGGTAATGAATCGGGTCTAGAAATACCCGTGACTCGTAAGAACGACCGCGTGTCTACTATCATTATTAGCACGCGCGTATACCTAGCTATAATGTAATCAGAAATGGTTAAGAGTGCGTCCATATGTAGCTGTGGCGGCGCGGTGCGGCGGCGCGGCGGAGGGATCGGGCCGGAGAGGGGACTCGTGGAACGGACAGCGATGGGGCGGGAAGTGGGGCGGGATGGAGGGGGATGGGAGGGAACGGGCGGACGGAGCGGGAGGGGCCGGGACGGGACGGGGCGGGACGGGACGGGACGGGACGGGACGGGACGGGAACGAGACGGGACGGGACGGAACAGAAAGCTGGGAGGGTAGACGAAGAGACGGCCGAAGGACGGGAACGGGCACGGGACGGGACGGACGCGAATGGGGGCGGCCGTAGACGGGGGGCGGGGGCGGGGGCGAGAATGGGGCGAAATGAGGGCGGGAGCGACGTGGCAGGAACGGAGCTGGACGGGGACGGTGAAGGGCGGAGGGGAACGGGACAGACGGAACAAAGCGGCGGACGGGGCGGACGGGAGCGGGACGGGTGGGCGCTGAGCGGATGGGTCGAGGTGGGAGAGGGGCCGGTCGAGTGGGATACCGATTAAGGCGGGGGGGGGGCACTATGGCAGGACCACGCGCCGTGAGACCGTCCTGCCTACGTCGCACCGGCCCTCCGGGCCGGAGCGCGCGCCCGCTATTTGCATAGAGGGGAAATTGCGCAGCGCCGCTTGTTCGCCGCCGCGCAGAAAGCGGCCAGGGCACACCGCCGCGACGCCGCGACGCGCCGTGAAGCGCAGCACAGTGGGCCCGAAAGGACAAAAACGTGCTGGCAGGTAGGGTGCACCGCCTGGTGCCACGCAGAAGGTCTACGAATAAAAGTAGCATTAATTTTATAACATCTGCATTATCTTCGTAGACATTCGGCAAATAAATTGAACATACATTTCTGACGTAAAGAAACCATCGATTAATGTTTCATTCTCAGTAATATTTTTTATATAGTTGACTAAACGGAACAGAAATATTTTACAATTATAATAACAGTAATTCAATTACTAATATACATACAATGGTACATGCACTGTGTCAAAATGAAGTGGAATATGGTTACAGTTCGTAGCCACAGAATCTAAGCATCAGAGGCAAGAGATGTAACCTAAGCAACGGAAATTAGGAGCTGCGGCTCTCGCAGTGTTGTTACCACGAATTACAGAACAATAATGAGTCGCATGGCTCCAATGCTGCAGTTAATCATTCGAACGGCAATTCAAGTGTCGAGAGTAAGGTTAGATTGGATAAAATGTGTTACTTGTGCACGAATTGTGAGTAGCGTGTCAGTTTTGTTTTTATTGACAATCGCAAATCGTGTTTAGCTGTATTGTAACGTGAGAGAACGCGTAGTAGGCTGTTCCTCTCTACAGTCTTCGGCACTAGCGTGACTCATATTACCGGTTCACAATAAAAGTAATGCATTTCAAAAAGTGTCGTTTTGCTGGATAGCGATTTGATTCTGCAGGAGACATTTATTTCGCGGCCTAAGACAAAGGAATTTGCCCTATACACAGGTAGTCTAGCGCAGGGCAGTTCAAGAGAAACGCCTCACTTGGCGGTCCCAGGCCCAGAACATGCCTGCAGCCACCGGTGTAGCGCACTGCTTGTAGAGTCAACAGGAGGGGAAGGGAGCGGATGCGCTCGAGGGCGATCGACTCTAGTCGTGGTGGCATCAGGATAACTGCAGCGGGCTACTTCTGGCACTCTGGTCTGTTGCCTTTGAGCAGCCATTTCAAAGTGAACTATATTTACGAAATATTTACAAGAAAATGTGTACTATTTTCTAAAGAGGTATTTTTCAATTAACTCATTAATGTCCATATCTGAGATGTGTCTCAATTCTTGTGCAATGACTATATTGCGCCCACTTTACTAAAATGTTTAGTTGTAGATCCGATGCACTCTCCGAAAGGGTGAAAAGAGAACGAACCCTTAACTTAACGAACGTTTCTTAACTAGCTTCTAATTAACGTTATTAGCAGTTAACACCAAATGACGGACAATATTTGTAGCTGAGGTTTATAACCAACCTAGCCTGTTACTTATGTTATCGGCCGTGTTTTTGCACTATTGGTCATTCAAAACATTTTGTTGGACCATCGCCTTACAAGAAAAAAATCATGCAACCAAGACGTAACATTTCTTGCAATCATACAACTTTTAGCTACATTTCATTTGTTTCGAATGTTCTTATCGGACGGCCGACTTTAAAGATACTAAAAAGTATTTTATTCTCTTATTGATACGTTATTGATTATTACGTTAATTAAGAGTTCAATATACTGCATAATTTATCTGAATCGAGAGGATCATGTATGTGAGGAAATATAAAAACCGTTGAATACGTGTTCTTTAAGCAGAGATATATGAAAGGAAATTATGAGAGGGAAATAAGAAAAAACAAACCCAGTCAAGTTAAAAACTAGTTAATTAGTAAGTAAGTGAATCTAAATCATTAACATTACGTAAAAATAAAATCACGCCGCTCTACCATAAAAACCCTTTTCACGCCCTTGCTGCATAAAAAAACTCAAAAACAATTGAAAGGAACATTTCCCGCATTTCGACCACACGCGTTTCCATACGCAGGCTGGCCAACTGTCCGGCTCGGGCCCAGCCGCACGCTCAGCGCTGCTCGCCGCGTCAAGGGAGCCGTCGGCAGAGAGCGCGCGCGCGCTCCGAGATGGCAGCGGCGACGCGGCGGGACGCGCCGCAACGCACGACGGGACGCGACACGACGTGTCGGGCGGGGAGAGCGGGGGGGGGGCTTTCGCAGAAAGTTACCGCAGTGCTCGTAACAGCTTCTGGAACAATTCTCTCCCCGTCGCGTCGTCGGGCCCGGGGAATCGGCATAACAGCTTCCCACTTAGAGCCCGGCCCGGGACGAAGGGCGGCCGCCCAGGACACACAAGGCCCAGCAGGGGCTGAGAGCATGTGGGTTGCGGGTTCGCTTGGTTTGGACAACTTCGACTTGGTGGACCGCCCTTGTGCTAGCGCGATTGGGCTTCCTGGCAAGGCCTCGACCAACTAACGGATGAGTTTGCTGGAGGCGCTTTGTAAATAAAGCGTCGTTTTATCGTTGCCCTTGTCGGCGATTAACAAGGGAATAGTTATTTATGATACGATTAGTAAAAGTGTCGATATATATTGTGAGTATATAAGGTTGCAACTGGAGGTCGACATATCAAGAGGCCAAATAAAATCAATTTTACAAAGTGCGTCATACACGATTGTTTAGAGAGCCTTACTAACTTAGATGTTCAAGTATTCAAATTACTTAGTTGGGTACTATGCTACAATACGGTACGTAGTAGTTGATGCGGCAAGACCAAAGTTGTTTTTTCCCTCTGTTGCATTCATTGTTTTACTTGAAGGTTTGAGCCTAGTCTCAGTTTTAACACTAGTGCTAGAAGCAGAACTTTTACCACGCTGTGCATGCTCTAAAGGTAACCGCTTGTACTAACTGTCTAAAAACCTATTTTAATTTCTTTTGTCTCCTTTTCAATGTTTTTGATTCAATCACTCGTATTAACCCTGACGTTTTAAGGATATTCGAGCAATGGAAGTTATGAACAAAGTCGAAAAGTTGGCAATGAAGTGAGTGACTTTGCTGAAGTCGCTTTATGATTAATCCGCCATGTTTTACATTTACTAGCTTGTTCTTAGCGCCAAACATAACAATATATTATTCACATTTTTTGTTTCCTTTTCGTGTAATTTTTTTACTAGTCCACTGACATTAACCCACATGTTTTAAGGGATATTCGAATCATGCAAGACAGTTCACGCGTAGGACACACAGCATCCGACGAGTCTCTGGTAACATATGCTGGAGGGAGTTCTAAGGACCCAGATCCGCGCCGGTGCTAGCACCTGATCGCACTTTCATACAACGGTTGGCGATCAGGAGTCAGAAACTCTTTTTAAATACAGCGCTCTGTTTTCCTTAATAGTTTGCTCTTTTCAGCGACTAACATGAGATTCCTCATTTATTTTATTTCGACTTCCTGTTGCTTCTATTTCCGATTCGTTCACTCGTATTAATGTTGTTTTATTGCACGTTCTGGGCTTTGGAGGATGGGCAGTTGGGTCTTTGAAAGTCGCATGACTGTGATGCTCATATTTTGCTGAACTATTGTTCTTAGTTTAAACATTTGCCTGGATTGATTAACATATACATTTCTCACCTATAGGTTCGTCTCAATTTCGAGTACGTTTCTTATACAATCTTTTGTACTAATGCTCTTATTTTGCTTTGTTAGTTACACATTATTCACAAAATTACAAATATCTATTCGTTTAGAAAATAAGTATGGTGTTTACGGTGTTCTCTTGACTGTTTTTGCAAGATACTCCGTTTTGCCTGTAAGAATCTAATTAATAGACGTCTAGAAAATATTTAATTAATCTAATCTCCTTCAATTTGTAAGTGCGGATTTTCTTGAAAAATCAAATTACGATCGAGCTAAATAAAACAAGAATTTCAATTCAGCTTCATCAATTTACAGAGACTTTCAAATCATTCCTCATGGGTTGCGGTGTCAATGCACAAGCATTTTCCGCGGTATTTATATAAATATTCCGTTACAAAGGGTTAAAATATTACATTCATTATTTGGTTTCTCGGTAAATAATAATAAAATTTTTAAAAAAACATCAAACAGTACAGTTTGTAACCGGTCTTTCTCCGAAACGTTCAGTAAAACAAAACCATGCATTTTGACAAATTACCGTACGTAATTTATACATCCCTTTTGTGTGCACAATATTAAGTACCTATTAAACAAATTATACCAACCAATAAATACATCGCAAAAATATATTTAAAACAATACGTTTGTTTCACAAAAGCACGCCTCAGTCACGCATGTTTTTCAATTTGTTTCCTTTATTTATTTTTAAAATATATTTAATACAAATTCCGGTTTTGATGTGGGTCAGCTGCAATGGACGCGTTTTTTAGTTCGTGGAAGTGATCCATTTGGTATATTTGAAAATGTCTCATTTCCAGGAGTTGTTTCCCAAAGGACATCCAGGGAAATCCGTCCGCAATCGACCTAGCTTTAAGACCAATTCAACCCAACATACACGATATATATCACCAATCCAATAGAGTCACACATGTTTCGTTAATGAACCAAGAACAGGTGAACTCTTCCTTACAAACACCAGTACGACCATGACGTACGCCGTAAAGCTGCTTTTCCTAGAACGCAAGGAACTTTCTCGTAATTGGGTAATTGATTAGCAAAATCCATTATGGGTTATTACGCGCCTGACCCGACGCCGGCTCCACCGCGCTATTACGAGGGGGAACAATGCAGTTAAGTTTCATCAAGCCGATGGGATTACCGAAATCGGGGGAAACTTCTCGGACACCGGTCGTGCCCTCAAATATTAACGAAGCGCCGCCCCCCTCCCCCTCCCTCGCTCCGCGGCCGCGAGTAACGGTTCCGGGGCCGCAGCGAACAGGCCATCCGCCGCGGTTAGTGCCACAACGCCCCGCCTGCGCCGCGCCGCGGGGGCAGCTTTTATCCGCGAAGCGGCGGCGGTTGCTATAACGGCAGCGGTGAGACCGTTGGGTTTGATTGATAAATGATTCCCAGCATATCAACAGTTGTGATCCTTAGTGCCGTAAGTGTAGTACATGTTTTGCTCGGGAGATCTTCCTCTGCTGGTTGGTGACATCCGGCGCCGATCTTCCAACGGCTAGCAGGGTTTTCCCATCCAGGTATCCCCCAGCAGGGGCAGCGCCCAGCCGGGGCAAGCTCTAAACTCCCGACCGGTCTCCCGGGATGTGTGGTAATAGTGTGCATGTAAGCGTAGGTTTGCGTAAGCAAGAGGTAGGATAGGACAAGGGACAGAAAGGAAAGATCGCGCGCTGTTGTGGCTCATTTTTTAGAGTACTGCTCCGGCATTTTCCTGGTATTGGACGTACAAATCAGGCAATCTAACGATCAGAGAGGGCGAGCGCTAGAATTCGCCGGTAGTTTTTCGAGGTTTCTCCTATCAACGCCAGGCTAAATGCGGAACTCTACCCTAGCTAGCCAGTAACCGGGCGTGTCGGGAGCTAGAGCGTGTCCCGGCTGGGGCGGTACCTGGTAGATGGGAGATACCTGGTTAAGGAAATACCCGTTAGTGTTGGCGCCGGCTGAAGGTAGGCACCAAGGCTCACCATCCAGCAGGGAAAAATCGCCGCAACCTCCTGAAGAAAACGCATGCACTACACTTAGGGGACTAACAATTTTAGCAGTTGACGCTCTCAGAATCACTAATCAATCAATGAAGGAGTCAAGAGTGGGAGGCGAGAGGCCGGTGGACGTTTGAAGATTCCCTACGGAACTAGGAGTAATTGCTGGAGTACTTTGACAATGCTTCTGAACATTTGACGCAACGGTTTTGTGAAGCAATTCTTGGGAGCATTGTTATGCTCTTGTTATTGCAGTTCTAATTCTTGAAAGTTTCAATATATTAGAAATAGCAATTATTTTCACAAAGCAATCGATTTAATAAAAATAACCGGGATGAAGTGGACTATTTAATTTGAATTGTATATTGTAACAGTACATTGCTATT